TTTGCTATTACAGCTTCATCTGGGTATAAAATCTCCAAGTAAATCCTAATGTTTTTGACGAGCTTATATGATTAGATTTACTTATCTCAAGAAAAATAAATACCAAACGTAATGAAATGTTATATTTGTTACAACAGTGTTGTGTTTATTGTAATCGTAAACACATTTTTTATTCAGTACCTTAGAATTTATCCGAAAAGAGACTGTATACCAGTATTTCAACCACCGTCACATATAGTAGCAAGCATCGTTTTGCTCAATACTAGAGCTCACCAGGGCTGTGCTACAACAAACACAATAGTTTTCACAATGTTATTTTTGTAACCCATTTCTTAGAATAACAATTGTTACAGTATCAACTTCCTTTACAACAGTTGGACAACAGTATTGCGTTTATTATATTTTTAAATACCACATTCTTTAACCGGTCTCTCAAGGTGTTTCCGAGAAGAAAAGTGTATATTAGTGTTTTAACTTTCAGTTGTATTGGTTATTCATTGTGATAGGGAATCCCTTTGAAATAACGCAAAGCTTTCCCATGGAAAAAGCTTGCTTCTGAACGATGTATATTAGTCTGTTATGTAGTTTCTGTACCACTTCAAACACGTAGTGTGTTATGACAGTCTGATAATATATTTCCCATTATTCATTGGTGGACTGATCACTGATGTGAGTAACGCATGCGGTATTAGATTAATGTCGCTATTGTATTCTGTATAAAGGTTTATACATTTTAGTTTCAGCAACAACCTTTCGTCCAGCAAAATCATTTCCTAACAAAAATGATACACACTTAATTGGCAGAGTAGGTCTTACTCCAACCACAACTGGTCCCGAAACTAGGTCTGATGCTAAATAAATGTTATGAAGAGGAACATTAACAAAACCACCCTCAATACACTGAGCAATAACAGACTCACCAGTGGCAGAACTCGAATCTAAAGGCAATATATCTTCTAATAACAATGATTGAGTCACCCCATTATTATGTAGAATATATATGGGTGTGAGATTGCCAGTGTCATTTCTCAAAACCACAGAACCAACAGACACAAAAGGTCTAAATTCCTCCCTGATTACATCAGCATTTATATCAGTGGCCACATCAACAACATTGAGTGATCTGGTGAATCTACGTCCATATGTGGACACAAATGCACTGGGTGTTGCCTCCTTTTCTTTTTCAAACATCAACAATCGGACATAACATGACCAGGTTTTTTACAAAAATGGCAGCCAAGCCTTGATTGTTTTGATAAAGTTTTAGCCTGACTGTATGATGATTTCGAACTAGAGGAGCTGGAGTTTTTAGAAGGATCCTCAGCTTTAGAGGATTGAACAGATACAGGTTTTTGTTGAGATAGTAGGAGTTTCTTTTTATGAAAAGTGGATTTATTTGTTAAAGCGCAATCATCGGAAAGAGCAGCTACTTCTTGTAGTGTTTCAACTTTCTTTTCACCCAAATAAGCTTTGAGGTCGTCACGTGCACAACTTTTAAATTTCTCAATTAGACATAATTGTTTTAGCTTGTCGAAAAATGTTGCCAATATGCATAGAATTGCACCATCGATCAAAATGGCCCGACATGGCCAGGTGGTTAGAGTGCTCGAGTCACAATCTGTGGGTCGCGGGTTCGAATCCCCGTCACACTAAACATGCTTGCTCTTTCAGCCGTGGGGGCGTTAGTAATGTGACGGTC